TCACGTTCACCAGTATCCGATCCGTTTGTCCAAACCCCTGAGCCAGGACTGTCAACGCCCCTCGCAGCTTCGTCTTCCCCGACGTACCAGCGTGCGCCATCGCCTGACATCAGTCCGACCCGACCAGTCTTGGCTTCCCAAATGTCCACCATGCGTTCTGCAAAACCATACGTACACCGACTGTCAACCTCCCCCATTCCATTCCAATCGCCTGCCTCGCCTTCGACCTCCGCAACACCCACTAGACACCATTATCTTGGGCGTCCACTACCACCGCGGCCACCAGGCCCGCCTCCATCTCAGGAGCCCATACCGTCTCGTTGCCCAGAGGGCATACTCATCGACTTGGACGATCACACGCCAGTGTCCCAGCCAGTTTCTCGGTCACCTACCGAGGTCACCGATCTCGATTTGCTGATCTCTAGACTCGAGTACGACGATTCTGGCGCGCAGAGTGGGGCCAACTACGACGTGAGCCCTGTCCCTACCTCTTGTCTTCATTCCAACCGGTCTTACCAGCGCACACTCGAAGGACCTGCTGCTCATATCCGAGATCTTGGGCCCCGGGCCTCCACCAGCTGTTTGTTCTCCTCCTCCAGCCCGGTCTATCGTCTCGGGGCTAGTGTCTGTTGAACGGCGGCGGGTCATGAAGGATGGGAGGGTGAAGCTCAAGCTGGTGTTGATGGGGACGGCGGTGGATCGGTGTGGGATATGTCTGACGCAGTTCAAGGAGGGCGATTGTGGTGCTGTGGGTGAGAAATGCAGGCATTCCTGCCACGAAAAGTGTATCGTTAGATGGTTGGCGAGGAGTTGGACTTGTCCGTTGTGTCGGGAAGCCTGGAGCTGATACTGGATGTTTTTTTTTGGTCGGGTTATGGCAGACCCATGTAGCGTTACGTCTCTTTTGTTAGACCATCGACTCTTCAGTCGTGTACTCTTGCTTGTGTACAGTACCATCATGCTCGTTCGTTTACGACTCATTCATGAGTACTACACTCTGTGTAATTCATCTTGCTCGGTAGGCCCGAGCTTGTGTGCCACTTCTACGTCTAGCGGAGACACAATCGCGTTCTTCGCACTTGTGAAAATACAACCTCGGAAAGCCTTGTAGGCTACGAGCTCAAAATAACGGAGTTACGGGTAGGCAAGAGGATATGTGGCACACTCAAGATAATACCTATAAGAAGCACCCCACCCCACTCCACTCCACTACTATTTGAACCGATGTTTGCTACAGCTCGCTGCATCACATCAAGTGAACAAAGTCATGTCCGGGCCAATAACATCACAATCAACTACTTTAGGTGGTGAAGTAAACCCTAGGTTTCGATACACCTCGGGTTTACTGCGGTAAATAACGGTATTGAAACATCCGGGGGTGTGAGGTAGGTTTCGATACCGGCACGTGACTACTGCATGTGCCGGCGCGCTGGCGCTCAGAGAGCCTGGAGGTGGCGGGACTAAGGCGGCGGGGCGCGGCGCCACATCACGTGTTCCAAACACGGCCGGTATCGAAACCGTTACTAACGGTTTCTAAATCTGAGCCTCCTGGGGGGTCAAAATCAATATTGTTACTAATAACCTCCGGAGGTTTACTGCGCCACCCTAGGGGAAGATACATTTCGTTAAATGTAAAGGCGTCACAGCATCGGTGCGTGAGCCAAAATGTACAGGCCTAGAACTACTACACACGACACCAGCAGGATTTGAACCTGCGCCCTCAAAGAGGAACAGATGAAGAAAATTCGAATCTGTCGCCGTAACCACTTGGCTATAGTGCCTTGAAATTGTTAACCTTCGCAACATTGAGATCATAGGGACCGACGCTTGTACAAGTTAACAATGATTGATTTAGAAAGTGGGTCGTTCATTATCTCTACACGGGCGCCTGTCAGAGTGTCAATTCGGCGTCTGAGCAACATGGTTCAAGAAGCGTACCTAAGGTTTATCTCCTCCATCTTCAATAAGCCCAACACCGACCGACCGACTCTCCGGCTGTAACCGCTGCTGCACATCCTCCTTGGTCAACTTGGCCGCTTCTGCTGCGACCTTGGCCTGTCTCGCTGCCTGTTGGCCAAATCGTCGAATCGTGAGGTATCCGGACATTGCTAGCTACGCACCGCCTTTTTACCGTGCAGACACTCCAAGTAGTCCTCGCCCTGCAGCCTGCATTGCGTCGGGATGTCCGCGCTGGCGTAGCATTTCTGGAATTCCTGCCAAAAGGCGAAACAGCGCGGTTGGCCACCAGAGTAACTGAATCCTGACTGAGGGGGGGTGGGGGAGGTCAGAGAAATGGGAGGAAGCCGGAGCGTAAACCCACCATGATCGTTTGGTGGAAAGTGACAATATCACAGGTGTCACGCTCGGCAAATTCAAACAAGTGCGAAAGTGCCAGTATTTCGTCTTCTTCGTATTACAAAAACATGGTTTCAGGAGCGTATATACGAGAATGACTATCATAATCACAAGCCCTTCTCTGCGCCAACTTGCACCTAAAAGGCACCGGTTGCCTACAAGTACTTGGTTTTGGACCTTTGCCGTCACCGCAAGACTAAAAGGACCTCAGCATTCCACCGCTAAATCTAATCTCTGAAATGACGTCCTCGGGCATGATATCGCACATGCTCGACACGGTCGCGATGAAGCGGAGTAACATCTGGACAGACGCGTTTCCCAAATCCGAAATCACGGTAAGCATCGTCTGCATGGCAGCTGGCTGCATCGTCACCATTGTATCTCCGGGTTGAACATCTCGGGGTCATGATATTCCTCCGTATCACAAGCATTGCCTGTACACTGTTACTCGAATTCGAAGTGAAATCAAAATAGTATACTCACCAAATGTTGCAGAATATCATCGCTCCCTTGTCGAAGGAGTAGCCTTTGTATTCGTCAGCTTGCGTCGTTGCATGAGGAAGTACTGTAGGACCGTGAATGCCATGCGTTGTACTTGAAATCAAAGCTAGCATCAACTTACGAAGAGGTATGGGAGGAAAACAACGAAGGATTTCGGTGATCACGCTGGTGGATTGACTTTGTCGTCAATAGTTGGGAGACATCCGAGACAGGCAACCTCTGCTTGTGCCTTCTTCTGCACGTCAGGATGGTGAAGCATCATCAAAAAGAATGTATGGAGAGAGGCGATTGACTATGCGCGGGTCAGGAAGTGATGAAAACAAAATAAAGATTCGGATCATCATCGGCCTCCAATCAATGGGCAGACCTCGGACTCCTTCAATAGCTGGCCATTGGCGTCCTGGAATATAGCTTCACATACACTGGGAATGCCATTATCCCCAGACAGCTCACGGGAGTGTGAAGGAGACAATCGTAAAGCTCACATGCGTCTATTTACTCGCGAGGGCTTTGCGACAAGTCGTAGAGAGCATAAGAAGGAGGAAGAACGACTAGAGTTTCACTGTTTTCAACATGGAGAGAGACATAATCCCAGACCATATGCGGCGTGAATGTGCAGTGGGACGAGTCACCGGAATCCGGGGTATCCTGTTCAGTAAAGCTTCGAATCAACTCTGCTAGAGGGACGCTGAAGTTTGGTGCTCAACTGAGCTAACTCATGCGCAGCAGCTTGTGAGAGACTCGAGTTGGACATTGCGGTGAGGAAAGCACGAAGAAAAAAACCATCACATTTGACACTAAAGCATGCACAAAGGAACCCTACCGGGACGGAACACCTCGACCACGACCCCGTCCACCAGCGCCGCCGCGCCTTCCCCAGCCGCCTACATAGGCGCCAGGTCCCAAGAGCCCTACACCCCCCGGCTCTCCAAACGTCGCCACATTGCGATCGCGCTCTTCCTGCCTCCTCCCCCGTCCTCTTCCCCTTCCCCGCCCCGGGTTCGGGTGATGTGCGGGGCCTGCCTGCGGGGTAAGGGTATCAAAGAAGCTCTTTTGCGGATTATACGCCTCGACCTCGTCGACGCCCTCTGTCTTTGCCTCCGGCTTTGTAAACCGCGCGTTTGACGCAGAAAAATCAAAGTCTGTGGTCGGCACTTTGAATGCGCCATTCTGTTGTTGCTGCTGAATCTCGCCTATAGCCCGCTCGACCGACTCCATAGCGGTATGCACAGAGTCTGCCCGGCGCTGCCTCGGCTGCTGTGGCTGCGGCCCAGCGCCGACGACAGCGGGGTCGTCGTGCACGCTTCGACGGACTTTGGGAGCTGGCGCGGCGGCGGCGGCTTCGTCGACGGCCAAGATCTTTAACTTGGCTCGCGCGGAAAATGATGTATTCGTAGGGCTCGGCAACGGGTGGAATGAACTCGCCGGGCGGGCGTCGAGTTTCTGTGCCCATGGAGTACACGCGGGAGAGCTATCAATTTGGACATTAGTGGGAGGGCACCAAAGGGGGGAGAGGGTGTACTTGGATGGTTGACGCGGCGGGGTCGATGCCGGCGAGTATCCCGCGGTAGCGCACATCAGAGTGCGAGATTAGGGAGATGGGTTTCCTGGGGATGTGTTAGTCGGGGAATGTGAAAGAGGCGAAGACGCGAGCAAATGGGAGGCCAGCCAATATTTTCACCAGTGCACAAAACCAGTTCAAAGATATAAAAACTCACCCAATGAAACTGAGCGCCATTTTCCGTTTCCTTCTTTCTGTCTGTCCAATACGCGTTGCCTAGCGTTCGTTGAAATCCTTCCTATTCGCCTTTCTTCCCGTAACTATGCGCTGTCCTGATTTCAATACGAGTAGTGCTGAGTGAAAGCAAGTAAAAGTCTGCAGTTCGTGCTAGTCAATGCAAGAGTCCAACTCTTTGACGACGCACGCGTGCCAGCCTCGAAGCTAATTCAAACTCCGCCACGTAACTGGCACAGCCACATGCGCTTGGTATTCGATACCACCTCCTCTTGCGTCGTTCTCCTCACTGTGCTGCCTATATATTGAAAGAAAGTGCTCATGGAAACCGCCCTCGTTACTCATAGCTATTTCAACAACAATCATGCCTGCCCGTGCGGGACGAAATAGTCAGCTCTGAACATCCCACGGCGCTATAGCCAAGTGGTTACGGCGACAGATTAGAATTGCTCGCAGCTCTCTCGTAATCTGTTCCTCTTTGAGGGCGCAGGTTCAAATCCTGCTGGCGTCGCTCAGAATTTACTTTATTGTTTTACACTTTTTTTCAGTGCCACAGTGACTGTCTGTGCCTTTTTCCAACCACTTGTTTCATGCTTGACTTGTTGGATTCCATATCTGCGTGCGCGGCAGAATTTAGCAAAGTTGTCAGTGCCAAAAGCTACTGCATCCATCAACTCATTTGTCCTTGTAGGCTTTCGATTCTTTGTGTTGATCAACGGGCGCTCTCAGCCAAGAAGGTGAAGGGTCTCCTCGCGGAACGAAGAGGCCTTGAAGTGTATGGTAGCAAACCGGATAGAGAGCGAGACACACTCACGTCCAGATAGTAAGTAGTACTTGAGTAGTACATGACAGAATCTCGAGTCTGCCGCGCGATATTCAGGCGCCTTGAGTGTCGCGAATGGAAAAGGCTTTCTTTGCGATCAAGGTAAGAGAGTATCGTACTGTACTCCCCCGAGTTGAACACGGACACTACGATAAAATCACAAGAAGGGAGATGGCGATAGATAGTTGAGGGTAGAAGAACCTATGGAAAGGTGGTGGCGAGAGTAAAGAACCAAGTTCAACGCCGAGTTGATGATTGATCTTGTCATAACTAGTTTACTAGACTGGATAGAAAGCGTGTTGGGGAGACAAGAAGGAGTTAGAGAAACCCCCATTGAAACTTCGTTGGAATTGAAACTCCGCTGGGGTTAGGGTTGGACCTCATCGTCACCTCTGGCCGGGGTGTGGTTCCCCCTAGCGCGGGTCTCTTCCGTCTTCCACTGCTCCAACCATAGAGGCCCCATTTGTATACCGATACCCGCCGCTTCTGCCGCCGGACATGGGCACGATCCGGCCTCTGACGAACGGGAAGCGCGCTGCGGACGAGGAGGGCGGGGAGGAGGAGGCGTCGGTCAAAAGGCGGCGGACGTCATCGCAGGTATGTGTGTCGTGTGCGGCGGTGCTAGCGAAGACTGATGTCATGTAGGAGCCCGAGCCCGAGCCCGTACCATCGGAGAACGTGGACAAGGTGGGTTACAGGTCGATGACTTGGGCGCAGCTGATGAGGCATAGGACGCTACACTCGTCGAAGAAGATGTCCAAGAGGACGTCGCCATGGACGTGCAAGAGGTACGCAATTGGCTACAATATGCTACATATACCAACACCATGTAGACTACAGGCGAAGACGAGCGCGAAGAGGAAGAGTCTGCCGAGAATCCCGTATGGCTATCCATCTAGCGTCTACCCCATCTAACGATTTGCAGTTTATCTCCCTCAACGAATCCCTGCCTGGTAAAGAACGCTCTGAAGAGGAACTCATCCAACTCCGCGACATCGCTCTCCATCTCCTTACTGGCGGCACCGACCCAGCCGAATTCATAGCCTCACTCAAAGATGATCCCAAACCACTTCCTTATTTAATCGCAAAAAAGAGTGTCCCAGCACCGCTCTGGGCATCGCTCGTACATCTAAACGTGCCACGCAAAACGGACGGTGAGCCACGTGCTTTGAATGGGACTTGTGTACGCGGAGTGAGCGTCGTTGAATGGGATCTAGTCGGGGTTAAGCGTCCAGGACAGGTAGATCTTCAATCACAAGATCTACAAAGTGCTCACCATGAATAACAGTGTACGACGTGTAGTGGTCTAGAACGGTCGTGTGAGTATACCTGCGTCGGGAGACCGCATAGCAAATGCCGCGAGTGTTTGATTCGGCAGAAGAACTGTACTGTCGCAGGCGCGAGTCCGGTAAAGGTCACCATTTCCGTTCCAAAGAGGAGGGAGGCTCCAGAGACGCTGCGTGCGACCCTACTCCAGGAACCGCTCGAAAAGCAGAGAGAGACAAAGGCGCGTGTGTCCAAGGATATGTGGAGTTTGGTGGTTCAGCTTGGGCTGGACAAGAAAACGGAGATTGATGTCTCTGAATGGGATGTTTCTGGGACAATACGCGCCGTTCCCTGCAAGATGTGCGTCAAGGAACGCGTCGCATGCGAGGATACCGCTGTTGGCGCAGACGGCGCGTGTAGACGCTGTTCATCTCTTCTTCTTCCTGCTCTCCCGTCACCGAGGTCGAACAAGACGTGGAGACACACGAGGACAAGGTGCTCTACGTTCAATTCGCAGAATTTCACAACAATAAGCAGCTTAAAAACTCGGACAAGACGGCGTGGCTGCTCAACATGCGCGGCGTCATTGCTGCCATGTCAAAGGCAAAGGGCAAGCAGGTCAGAAAACAAGTTGGCGAGGCGAGGTGGGCCCAGATTGTCGAGAGCGGTGTGAGGGGCGGGGGCGGGACGAGGGTCACGCGATGGCGAGAGAAGCGCAAGGCGGACGGAGAAGAGGCGGACGAACCGGGCTGTGATATCTCTGCCTGGGATCTCGTCCCGACCAACAAGACCCCCGAGTGTTTTCATTGCCGGGAAGCCTCTATCCCGTGCGAGTATACCACCCTCGAGTGGGCGGCGGGAAAATGTCGGGAGTGCATCCTTGAGGATCGGGGGTGCGCACTCGTCGGGCGGCCAAAGCCGGTGGAGGTCAAGACGAACAATCCAGCACTCGCAGCATTCATCGCTGCGCTCCCCTCTGCGGACACGGCGGTGTTGCGCGATTTTGCTCTAATTGTGCCAAAATCGCTGCATCACAAGGCAAAGCTGGCGTGCGGCGAGGACGTGTGGGTCGACATGGTCAAACTCGGATTATCTGACGATATTGTCGGCCGTGCAAATGGGGCGGGCTCAACGGGCATGAGGATGGCCGAGTGGGATCTCGTTGGGGAGGAGTACGGGGCCGCGTGCACTTATTGTGCGGGCATGCGCTGCGAGCGCGTCCGCTCAGATCAGCCGGGCAGTTGCAGGCGGTGTAGGTTAAAGAGGCGGGGGTGCAGTGTCAAAGATTTGCTTCCCGGGGAGCAGGAGCTGCAGATCAAGGTTGCGGAAAAGAAGAAGAAGGAAAGGGAGAAGGAAAAAGAAAAGGAAAGGGAGGGTGAGGAGATCACCTCGTTGTCACAGGCGAGGAGGGACGCGGGGCAGGTGATTAGGCTTGTCCCCCCCGTGATGCCCAAGCAGGCGCCGACTGTGCGTGTGGCCATGCCCAGGAGGGTGGGGTCTTCTGTTTCTACAGCGGTAGCGTCGACTCCGAGGGTGATCACCGCGTCCCGTCCACCGTCCGCACCAGCGAGTCAGGCGGTGAGCGACGTCATGCAGGGCCTGCTCGAGCGTATGGAGCGCGAGCTCGAGAGAAAGGAAAAAGAGGTGGAGCGACGCGAAGAGGAGCTTGCCGAGGCCCGGGCAGAGTGCAAGTCTCTCAAGGCGAGAGTAGCCCAGTTGGAGGGGGCGGCGGCACCTCCACCTCCCCCGGACGAAACGGAAAAGATGCTCGCCATGATCCGCATGCTCGAGAAGCAGGTCGAGGAGCTCAAGAGAGCGGCGTGATGATTGTTTGCTACGTTCTTTGCTTTGTTGTCAGCTTTCGTTATTATTCTGTAATTGTGATAGTTATTTTACAGGGTGAATAATAGTGCTTTTGTAGATTTTGTATGGTCTTGACTGAAGTGTATAATGTCTTGCAACCCAAGAACCAAACAGTGGTGGCCTTCATTCAAAAAGCCAAGTCGCGTGAATGTCAGAGCGAAGGAACGTCGCCTGTACACATATCCTGGGTTAGATAATACACAGCTAGCGCGCCCAACCAAGATGAAGAACTGGGGCGTCAGCATTTTAAAAAGGCCGTTTAATTCCCAGCGCAGAGCATCATCCCATTAAGGTTTACTTACATACAACATATAAGCACAAGAGGAGAACTTGATAAGTATCGATATTCAGGACATGGGCGAGACTGAGCGTCGTTTAGATCTCTCAGGTCCTTCAGCCCCGCATTTTCCTGGTGTCCAACTTGAAATCCACCAAGTCCTCAATCGTACACCGTAAGTGTTAATACTCTTTTACCTCCAAACGTAGAGGTCGGGTTGTCCGCAAACAACACATCCAGTTCCCTCATATATCAACTGGGAAAGTGGCACATTGAACGCGCTTCTGAGATAATTGCGAACAGCACTAAGAACGGTCACTTGGGCGCGCATATCGCATTCAACAGTGCACTGTGTAGCACACTCGCTGACCGCCCGTCCTCCGCCAACACACCCAACTCTTCCACCTCACACCACGTACTCGCAATGTATTTCCCTGCCCCCGAATAATGCGCGACCTTGCAGCACACGGCTGGAGCTCTAGCAGATCCTCAGATGGCACTGGGAGCAGCTCAGGATCTGGAGTTGTAAACGTGACTGCAGCAGATATCCCGCATTGGTGGCGCACACTTTGTAGTGATTTTCACCCTTCGAAGCGCATGAAAATTTGAGGAGATGAATATTTTAAAATCTTCTCAAACCACATGTCGAAACGGTCCAAAAAATCGCGCTTGTTCATCGACATGGTCATGACATTGGAGAGCGAGTGGGCGGTACTCATCTTATCATGATGATGCCGGAGGAATGACTGCGACGAAAATGCGGAATTAGGCAAGATGTGCGCGCATTGTGTGTGCAAAAAACCACCGTGCGCCAGGGCGTGCTGAGCTGTGATACCGAGCTCGGGCTCCGCCTTACAGTCGTAGCCACCCAAAGCGACACAGCGGAAGCCATCGCGAAGCAAGGCCTGAAGAATATGACGCATATTCAACGGTAGAAAAAACAAAATTCACACCTGCTCCTTGGCTTCGGTGTGGTCTCGAGGAGCTTGCAAAGTTTTCGTGCGGAGGTCCTCCTTGAGACGCTCAAAGGGATTCCGGGGGGGGCGACGGCGACGGGGACTCTGAGTATGGAGTCCGACTCTGAGTCTTCAGCTTGTAGACTGAGAGGGCGTATAAGGCGATGTGGATCACAGAGGATTGGAAGCACATAGTATTACAGGGACCGATGAGATTGTGGATGTAGCTTTCGCCGAGCGCAGATAGTTTGTCGTATTTTTGTGCGCAGGAGTGAATGGCGTCGACAATTTGGTAAAGCGCTGTTGTGTGGTGGACTATAAGAAATCCAAGAACTCGCGCGTGAAGCAACGCGGTAGCGTTTCGCGCGCGTCGGCCTGCGTTTGGAAGGCGAGACAGGCTTTATATGTGCTGACAGCGTTGGGGTCTAGATGGATGTCCGCGAGAGGAGGAAGGGGGTCATGGGAAAAGCACGGAGATGGTCGTGAATGCTACATCCAAGTTGAAGCACGAATATGTAAAAAACTAAGCTCAAAACGCGTTTTCTATCGACGCCAGCAGGATTTGAACCTGCGCCCTCAAAGAGGAACAGATAGAGGTACGATATATTTCCCACATTCTAATCTGTCGCCGTAACCACTTGGCTATAGCGCCGTAGATGTGAAAGTGTGGCGCTCCGCCCCCCCGTCTTTCGTCATTGAAATACTATGAGCGCCAAGTAACCCGAAATTGCCCAACATTTAGTCAATATCCCTAAAATCTCCTACCTCACCATAGCACGCAACATATCCCTATCCGCCGACTCATCCACCAGCGCCCTCAGCCTCCCATTCTCCTTTCCCAACAATGCTTTCGGAGTGTCAAACTCAACCTTTGACTTTGAGTGAGTCCCAAGATACTATTTTTTTTTCACCAATCGCCTCGTCCAAAATCATAGATTACTCCCCCTCACCAGCGCGCGCGCCAACGCCAAGATCTGTCTCTGCCCCACACAGAGGTTCGCGCCCGCAGTAGAGATGGCACTGTCCAATGTCAGTGTACCCTCCGTGTCAGCTGAATCTTGCTGTAGCGCAAACAGTCCCGCGGAGCGAAGAGCGCCGTGCAGCTTTGCATCATCGCATTGTTCAAATGGGTCAAGGTTCTCCCGGAGGGTGCCACTGAGGAGCTCCGGCTGCATGCACAGTAGCTTGTGAAGGAGAGGATTTTCACAAGCTTAGTGATGTTCGCTCTTAGCATATCCAGATTGATCGCCTTTGTCGAGACGTCGTCGTAAAACACCTGTACAGACAGCGAAGCAGGGATAACGTCAACGAGCGCTTGAAAGGGCTGGGAAGTAAGTGACCTGTAAAATGAAGACGCAAAAACGAACCTCTCCAGATCCTGTGCGCCCGACTAGGAACTTACTGATAAGCCCAAAACTTAAGACTCAGCAACCGGTCAGGCTCACCAACACCAATCCTCTCCCCCGACCGAATCTCGAAAGTCAAATCATGCAGCACCCGCGGTCCGTCGAGGGAATACCGGGCACACAGCCCTTCCACTCTTACCTTGCCGCTCGCAGGCTAATAGGCCGGCGGGACACCTCCTCCCTCGGCTCTGACGTATCCCAATATGCGCTCCAAGCTAGTAGTGTGGTCTATCAAGACACTAACCACAAATGACCCCAGGCAGCAAGCACTCACATATTCCCATTAATCTCAAACTCATTGAGGCGCCTCACAAACTCCGGTATCATCGACTTGAAACTGATGATCATTGCCAGCGAGAAACCTACATGATACGCGCGGCGGTCGAATACATAGACGAGATACGCGGCAACGAGCGTGGAGAAGAGGCTCTCGAGGAATGTGATCCGGATGTTCACCCACCGGTTGAGGTTGTAGAACGTCCGCGAGACGCTCGTGAGCTTGTCGATGCGCTGCAAAGATTCGGCTTTGAATGCCCGCCAGTCTCGTTTGACTGCGATAGGGAGCGCTGATAGGGCAGAAGTGTAGGTCTACACGACATCAGACTGAAGCTTCGAGGCTTCGATGCGGCTGACACGTACGAATGATGAGCGTGGAGGTATAGCAATACATTTGTATGTCGCGTTGGAGAGCGATTGCGATGGACAAGCCAAGAAGCGTCATGTTTCCAGCTAGATGAAGAGCTTGGAATGTAAGTATTGTACGCCCGCGTGCTTTTAGAGACAGCCTGTGAAAGTGGAAGGATAAGCCTTTCTAATAGGATCCTATTAGATGTTCAGCGGAGCCAGATGTAGCATGTTCCTCTCCCGCGTTCTTTCGCGACGTGACGCGTCAAATAGACGCTTTGATGGTCAAGAGCAACAGAGAGACGATTGCGATATAAGCCGGAACGAGACGGATATCCAAGAATGGCCTGTTCAGCAAGGTGAGGATGAAGCAGACTACATTGATTCTTCTAACCTACGAGAGATCATAAAGCTCAAATTCATTTGTAGAATGCTCTGGGGTGTGGCATAATACCTTGGCACAGAAGCTTTGTGTGCCATAACGGTTGCTGAAAAGATGCAGTAAGGAACCAGAAGACATCATCAACGATAACTTAATACAGTAACAAACACATGGACGTCAATATCCGTGACTTCGACGACATTGGACGAGTGGAAGGTGTTTTCGAGTCAAAGGGATGCTATAGTGTGAACGTAGCTTGAGGATAAAAGAATACAAAATCTTCAGACTTCTCGAATCATCTACCAGTGAAGCCTATGTGTGGGGCATTGATAGCCGTCGGATTCTTCTCCAAGTAAAGCTGATGATACTCCTCCGCATTCCACCATGGTCCTGCCTCCGTAATCTCGGTAACGATCTTCTTGCCCTTGTGCGTGAATTGCTTCGTCTGTACCTCCTCTGTTACTCGCGGGCGATGTCCGCTTGTTCCGGCGTGTGGGTAAAGATGGCCGACCGATATTCTGAGTGGGTTTCGGAATAAGCATGGAACATGTCGATATCATGATAAACGTACGGGTGCCCGTATCGCCTCCTTGTCTGTTTACCGTAGTTGGATCATGGGAGCGATAGAAGAACTCTATCCCGCTCTGAGCATCAAAGCAAGAAGGGACACTTCGAACACTAACCGACCAAGTCCGCGTAGCTCACTTTCGACTCATCAAACTCAATTTTGAGAGCCTCTGCATGGTCTGTCGAGCCCGAACAAACAGTTCTGTAGTCCGGATTCGCCGAACTTTCCTTGCCTCCAGTGTATCCGACACTCGTTTTCAAATGCCCTTATCCTGCGAGGGCGGGAAGTACTTGAGGAAGATGTGCTCGGTTCCCCAGAAACATCCCGAGGCAAAGGTCGCGATTTGGGGTTGCCCGGATGCTGCAATAACCGTTAGAAGAAGAAGCAGAAGATTACCAAGACATACTAGTAGACATAGCGGCTCTGTAGTGAGAAGGATCAACTGCAACTCTCCGTAAACCTAGAAGCGCCTGCAGACGACCAAGCATCAGACCAAATACGATGTAGAGCAAGTGAATGATGAGACGCTGACTAGGATGGTGGTGGTTATGAGTTACGATATCTGATTCCGACGGTCCATCCTCCATTTATATGATGGTGATGATTGGGTGATGCATCGCGCCATCTGTCATCAATTTCTTGATCACGCCGAAATTCGTCACGTGGGGGTATACGATTGTGCGCCACATTACTCAGTCATTCCTCAGTCCAACCCCTTACGCACAGCCTTCACCATTAAGGCATTCGTGACTTGTCTTCTCCAGCGCTATTGGATTATCAAGGAGGAAGATCCTCGCTGAAACATATAACATGATGTCTTGGCCGTACAACCAGTATTACTTGGATCGTCCCTAGGCCATTGTCAAAGTACCACATTACATATCTCCCTTCCCAGCTTGGCGCTCAACCTCGAACGCTTCCTGTCGATGTAAAGAATGGGCTGATCCGCCTGGTTCAACACCGGGACGCGACATATCAGAAGTATCTCCTATTTCTGATGCTCCTTCATTCGTGGTCGCGGTCTGGGGCCTAAAGCTCGCGAACCGAATGGTTCCGGCATCCCTCACGGTCGTCCTCATATTCGGAAGGGAAGAACGAGTCCACGAGTCGTCGATGCGCTTCTCCTGACATAACTCTCCCAATGATCATGGTCGGCGCAGCTGCCTATGCGTATGCGTCAGTGTCAAACCGCCCGTAGAATCAAGTAGAATTACAGTTACAGCATTGAGGAAGGCAGCAGGATACCAGTAGGTGAAGCTCCACTCCGGCAGGTAGAAGTCGTGTAAATACAAGGCAAGGTTGATCAAGTAAGTAGAAATATTTCGCAATAGCGGAATAAATGAAGGCAGATTCAATGAGTATGCCTATGAGCCCGCGGTATGTACGAAGGCTCTTCATCCCCGCGATAGCGAGGATCCGAAGGACGATAAGGGATGTTGTCAATAGATTGATTGACGCTGTGAGGGAATAATAGACAATACTCCAGTTGACCTGACTTATTGATGCACCGATCGACATTGAGCCGGAGGGATACGTCACCACCATATTCAACGCATGACTAACTAGTATCCGATCTTCTTTAGCAAGCGCAAGAAATCAACTCGATAATAGAAACCCTACCTAATCCACTTATTAACGCCGCAAGGAGGATGCTAGCGAGCAGCCAATTGTGGTTGTAGAGCTCCCAACAGCGCCAGATCTAGTTCACTACGAATCGGTGTACTGCGGTCAAATGAGAGAGGAACAGCGCGCACATTAGTCAGTTCTGCGAGCATAGCGTTCGTCGCCATTGCTGTAGTGCCAACAATGTTGATTGCGAGGCGCCGTGCAGACCAGTTCTCGTCACCGACTCCAAACGCGTTCGCGAGCACAGAATCCCGAGACTGTCCATGTGTCACAAACACAGAATACAACGCGTTCCAGTCAAAGCCAACATGAATTGTTGCCAGTAACCATATCAGGCAAATGACCACCGTCAACCGCTGGCGCTGACGAGGCCATTCTCCGCGCGCGGCTGATAACGAAAGTCGATGAGTGAACTATAGCGAAAACCATTGCAATCCTACCTATCTGGCGCAGAGTAGCGACGAAAATCATCGTGTACAGTGCGTAATTGAAGATTTCCAGGATGTGGTTGTTGAGGCTATCGCCGATGGCGCGTGTGGCCTCCGCGTTGGACATATCGAGTTCTTGTTCAACAGGAGAAGACATCCTAATCCTAATGCCGCGAAGGAAGATACAATAACATCGCAGCGTACTTTAAGTATTGCAGGACAGATTGAACTCAATGAGTGGGAAGTCAGGTAATAGGAAACTGAATTCCTTGATTGCAGTACAATTTGGTGAATCGAACTGTGGAGACTCCGATGCCAAGCGCGCTGCTTCGGGCCACATCCATCCTCGAATAACTTGGCGGGCCAAAAAAAGCCTGCAAGCGCATCGGAATCAATGTACAAACAATGATATGTTGAGGTTACTGACATATCCTTCGGTGGTGTATTGAGCGTTTGACAATCCATCTGTCTAATTGTCATTCTTGTTCATCAAGAGTCTGATGTGAGAACGAAGACAAGTGTTGGACGTGTCATCAAAGAAGGGATATTGATTGAAGGAACTGATAATCTTGTAGAGTACGACAGGAGCTTCGAAGAGGAGGAAGAGGGTGCAAATCC